TGTGGGTACATCGATTAGAAACTAGTACGAAAAGATGAAGGAAGAATAGGGTGAACTGGCGTCATTGGCGCTCTGAGAGGCGTGGGGCGCCAGGCCCCAAACTTCAGAGAAGTCTGTGGGGCGCTCTGGCTGGTGCGGCCCCCCAAGGCCAAAACTTCAGAGGCTTCTTTGGGGCGCGCTGGCTGGCGCTGCGCCCCAGCCCCATTACCCAGGTGTTCTCGATTTTTCTTCTCCGTTTTTCATCTCTAAGCCCTCCAATCTTCCCTAGTTCCTTCCCCAAACAATTAGGATCAATTGAAACCTCAATACACAACCAATCTAACTCGAAAACATTCCGGAAACATAAATCAACTCAATCCCCAAGCATCAACAATTCAACCAACAAAAACTTAACGAATTTCAACAAAGTTCTTCAAGAACTTCCTAACTTTTCATTCAATCAACAACCATTCTCTGAATAGAAATAAAATGAGAGTGTGGGTGAACTAACCCAACACGAAAATATCTCATATACCTTAATAGGGATCACCTCCGACGAATTACACTCGCAAGCTTGGATGATCTTGACGAATTCTTGCCTTTTTTTTTCTCCCTTTCTTTCTTCTTTTCTCTCTTCTCCAAGCCCTTAGCGTATTTATCAATTCTCCAAGCTGACTAAGTCATGTTTTTACCCCAATAAATCCCTAAAATCAAATTAGGAAATTAATTAGAGAAAAAGACTACTTTGCCCTTCCCTAAATCCGGTTTGGGACTGTCCTCAATCCAACAGCCCAACTTTCGAAAGGCATATCTCACTCATACGATGTCGAAAATCATGCAATATCGGCGGCGTTGGAAAGATATCTCCAAGGTATTTCCAACCATATCAAGAGCTACTCCTAAATCCTCCTGAGCTAGGAGTTATGGCAGTTTCAAAATGGCCAAAACTCACTTTCTTAACTTAGACAAAATTTTCAGATTTCCTTATTCTTTCCAAAAAATCAATATCTTCATATTTTAAACTCTTTATAGTTGTTTCTAGGTGCGGGATGTTACATAGAGGACCTTGGACAAGGTCATTGATCTCTTTCTGTAGCTGATATAGTTTGCACCCATTGGTTTGATCGTACCTTTCTTCCAACTCTGCCCAAAGTTCATAAGCATTGTTTACATACTGCAGACTGTCACGTAGATCAGGAGACAATGAATTCAGGATCCAAGAAGTTACCATGTCATCACATCTTTCCTATTGCAGAAAACCAGGATCAACAGGAGCAGGTCGCACAATTGTTCCATTAATAAATCCTGTTTTGTTTTTCACTGATAGAGCTCTAAGTATAGCTCTTCTCCAAGATCTGTAACCTGAACCATCAAAAACTGCAGGCAATAGAGAAGATCCAGCACTTTCTGATGGATGTAAGTAAAGAGGACTGGCAAAATCTATTCGAACTGATGTGGGATCAGCATGAAGATGAGAGGAACTCGAAGTAACTTCAGCTTGGAGATAAACCATATTGAGAATCGCGAAGAGATTCAATCACTCGACAATCAACTAATAACAACATGAAACAAATACAGATCCAATCGTGACAATCGAACAAGAACAAGATGAATCCTCCAGATAATAGAGAGGAGAAAATCAAATGAAGATCGGAAATGGCAGAAACAATAGAGGAATTCACAATGCAATTCTTCAAAAAAAAAAATGATCAATCACAAACCAGAAAAAAAATCTCACGAAGGATTAGATGTGGAAGAGAACTTGCGAGCAATCTCTGCGCTCTGATACCATGATGAAATCAGCAACACAAGCTGAGAGACTCCATTGATGAAAACTAAGCTCACATGGAGGAAACTGAAACTAGAGAGAAGAATAGCATGAAGCTATGTAATTTTGATTGAATGAATCAGTCTTTACAAAGTGTTACATATATACAAACTGTAATTGGAACAATCTAGAAGAAACAGTCTAACTAACTTGATTCCTTATTTTGTAACACATCTAACTAACTTCTAACTAATTATAACAAACTGAAATACTTTAATTGCATAATCTCAACAAAGGCAATGGATGATAAGGTTCAATGGTAAAGAATAAAAAGGTGAGAGTATCGTTGGCGGTCGTTGCCGCCGACGCCGGTGGAAGGGTGAAAAGAAGGAAAAGAAGGGGGGTGGGTTGATTCAAAATAATATATTTTTAAAAAATAAAAATAAAAATTGAATGATTTAAATAGAGATTAAAAAAATTGGATTCAATTGTCACGTGTCATCATTTCATTGGTCCATCGGCTATGTATTTGTGTTTGAGAAACACACATTTTTATCTTTCAACTTATTTTCATTTTGTGTTAAATAAATATAAATTTGTTAAGATTAAAGTCTTCAATCGGTACAAGCCTAAGTTAAAGTGTCTAACTGAAATATGCGAACAACTTTAAGTGATCGCGTATGACAAGTCATTTTAAAATAAATGAAGAAGTATTCCTGAATAATTATCATGTCGAACAAATAAGTTTAATTCTCCATATCCCTCTAATAAGAAAAAGACAGTTTGTAAAGGAAGCATCGACACGTTGGTAATTAAATACTGCAGATTGTACTTTTACGTTGATATTCGTGTCCAAAAGGTAATACGATGTATCAATGTGAAACATTAATTTACCCAAAACCACAAAAAGGACCTATATTTATTACATATGGGGTAACTCCATGTACACCTATATATAATAATAATAATAATAATAATAATAATAATAATAATAATAATAATAATAATAATAATAATAATAATAATAATAATAATAATAATAATAATAAATAATATACATTCATAAAGAATTGCATATATATGTAGAGACACACTTTTTAGGGTGTATAGAAATATAACTTTTTAGAGTTCAGTTCTCAGGTGAAATTTATTAGTATCTGCTCTATCATTATTAATAGGTCTCTGTTTGAGAATTATCACCAAGTGGATTGGGCTATTTTAGAAGGGTAGAGGTTTGAGACTAAAGTTATTTTAGGTAATATCTCTAAATGAATATAAGAAATATGTCTTTATTAATCGTTCGTACATATATATATATATATATATATATATATCTTTATATATCCAAATCAAAATCTCATTTCTCTTTTCCTAATTAACCGTAGTATATGATGTCAACTTCAATTTATAAATTTTATGATTTAAAATGTTTGATTTAGTATAAATATTGGATGCAAATAAAATTAGGAAAATTGTACAAAATAACAGACATTTAAATCATATTAAATGTTATAGCTACATTTAGGGAAATTCTAATTCGCAATTATAGTTTCACTCAATTTTGCTATTAGCCTGATTTGTATAATTCATCTTATTTGTATAAAATCCAGAATTTGTATGATTCGGTTCCTGATTGTTTAAGTCAAGAATTTTATGTATGCTTACCCTAACTAATTGTATACGATTTATGAAAAATTGATAATAAATTACCCTGTTTGTATACTGGCAAACGAAATTCTGAAAAAATTCTGACTGTATAAATACAGAATTTGTATATATTTATCCTATTTGTATATTCGCAAGCGAAATATAAGAACGGACATAAATATACAAACCACAGTCTTAATAGCAAATAGGTATAGGTATGGAGCACAATTATTGAAACTATAACTCAAAAGCCTTATTATGTCTATTTTATTTGCTAGTTCTAAAATTTTCTCAATAAAATTTTACTAAAACATCATGAGGCGGAGGAGATGTGAGTTTATGAGAATTCACTAGCTTTGACTTAAATTGTTAAAAAGTTAGTATTAAATAAGTATACGAAACAAATTGTGTACTTAGTAAGCGTTTGACCATAGGATATTTAAAAAAAAAATTGATTATTTAAGTTTTGCAAATAAAACTCATCACTTAAATTTTGTAAAAAAATATGTTTGACGTGAGAAAATTATCTGTGTCATATAGGGGGATTAAAGAATAACTAGTTTACATTATATTGTTGTTTATTTATTGACTAGCAGATATTTATAAAATTATACTTCCTTTTTTTTTTTTTTGGGTAAGTAAACATTTTATATACCAAGTGAACGTTACAAACCAAAATTAGCCGGTATGGACATAAGCTCCATCCTTGCTAAACCAACATTTCATATCTGCTAGCTATGTCTATGGATAATTATTCAAATTGCATAATCTAGTAGCTATTCTAGGATACCTTATACCTCTCCCATGAATGTCTTGTATTATTTGTCTAATCAAGAAACCTGCTGCCTGCTGCTTTTGTTGAAAGATCCTAGCATTACGCTCTAACAATATATGATAAATGGTGCTGGTCATTGCCATTCTATACACAAGTGTCCTACTGCTTTTTCTTTCATGTATTTTACTGCCCATTGTATCTCATTAATCCAGTAAATTATACTTCCTTTATATTATTTTATGTGATATCATTTTCTTTTTCGTTCGTCCCAAAAAGAATTTTATCTTACTATAATTAAAAACCATTTAACTTTAAGATTCCCCTTTTACCCTTAATCAATCACAAAATATTTAAAAATTATTTTAAACGACAAGTTTTAAAAGTCTTTTTCTTCTTCTTAAATACTATATCAAACTAAAAGGTGTCACAGAAGGGGTATATATTTAAAAATTCATAATAATATATATCACAACTATGTATTTATTTATTTTTAAAAAAAAACATAAATATATGTGATTTATCAATTCGACAAACGATTAGATAGAGGATATCAGTGCTTCTCTCTCTTTCTCTTTCCATTAAATTTGGTAGTCCACAGACAGAGTAGGAAAAGTGTGTTAACCTAGAGTGGAATAATAGTGTTTCTTCTTAGAGGCAAGAAAGAGAAAAGAGAGAAAATGGGAAGAGGAAGAGTAGAACTAAAGAGAATAGAGAACAAAATAAACAGGCAAGTAACTTTTGCTAAGAGAAGAAATGGTCTTCTTAAGAAAGCTTATGAGTTATCTATACTTTGTGATGCTGAAGTTGCTCTCATCATCTTCTCTAGCCGCGGAAAACTCTATGAGTTCTCTAGTGCTTCCAGGTCTTTATTCTCAACCCTATATATATGTTTTTTGTCTATACTTTTTTTGTGCGTGTTATCTTTATAACTACTTCACTAATTAACTCAAACCATATATCTCTCACCTCAATTATATATATGTTCGAGATCTGAATGTGTACGGACTCCATTTAGGTCTTCTACTTATATATACATACTAAATATAGATATATTTATTAGATAAATCATCTACCTTTATTCTCAAGATCTACTAATCTTTTCTGTATATGTATAAGAAGATCCATCCATTAGGTTGTGAAATTCTCTAAGTGGGGCTGAGTCTTGCCATCTGGTGGAAGGGTAGAATGTACGCAGACCTTACATGTTGTTTTTGAAAGATCCTCGATCTTTGTTTTTTCTTGAGCTATGTAAGTGGATTCATCTTTTTATCTAAAAAGAAAAAAAAAAGTGTCTATTTGTTCATCTAATGGATTTTCCATGGTACCAATTCACTACACTGTTGAGATTTGATTAGCAGATGTGTCAACTTTTGTTTGATTCCCTAGAAGGGAGAAAAGGCTGCTTATGCAGGCAGGGTGTTAAAGATGATATTAATATCTGCAGTAATCAATAACAGAATATATTTTAACTTAATAAACTTGAAGGTAGTTAATTATCCAGCAGATAATCTTCTGTCTCACCGTACACTATATTTATTTGTAAGAATCAAGAAATGACAAATACAATTATTATTATATCATATAAGCATAAGAATTGTTATATCAAATATTACCAAACAAAACTTACTTTCTATAACACATTTTATAAAGTAATAAATAAAAAACTGCATATATATACCTAAGAAATGTAACCCCCCCCCTCCCATAACAACAATTTATAAAAAATAAACCTTCTTTTTTGAATTTGGTAAATTAGTTTTCTATCCTTTTTAAGTATATATCTTTCTTTCTTATTTTCTTTTTATATTGGTAAAATTTTAATATTACACATTATTTTAACATATTACAAATTTTTTGTGGTGCTTAATTATTTGATACATGTAATAAACCATATATTAGCGGTATAAATCAATGACAATGCATGTAGATAAAACTTATGTATGATATATTTTGTTTTTATATATATATATATATATATATATAAATTCACTTTCTGGGGGCAAACAATTCACTATTTGATATAGTATAAATACATATGCCAGTATAAGATAATTGGAAGAAATAAAATAAAAACTAAGTTGGAAAAAATTATTTATAAAGTATATATATAATTTCTTGATCATGATACGACTACCCAAATCTTATATTCAAACTAAAATGCAAGATCAATGGTGTTTTAAATAGGGTTTTACACAAAAATCAAGATTTAACAGTGATTTACGATGAGATAATGTACGATGAGATAATGTAGCTTTTGTAAACAAGAAAACTACAAAAAATAAAAATAAAATGCAAAGACATTTTAAAGGATATAATAATGAAGATCAAAGGTAGAGAAGGGAAGATGCAGCAATATAATGAAGGTAACATGATAAAATAGTCTGGAACGAAACATTGTTTATATGATACTTTTTTTAGTTAATTTCAAAAATAATGATACATTTTCATAATTGATAAATATTTAATGATACTATCAACATTTTATCTATATTGGGTCCCATTTATTTAACCAAAACCCCACAAAGATGTGCTCTTCGATCATTCAAAATTTATTTAGTTTAAGGATAGTATTAAAACATGCAAAGTTTTCTCATATAATTCTTAAATTTTGTATCCAGTCATAATACGTCATATAAATTAGAATGAAGAGAGTAATACTTTAAAGCTTTATTTGATGACACAGTTGGAATCACAAGAAGCTAAAAGGCATAAGTTGGGAGTCATGTCCCGAGTCTACACCCTAGACGTGGTCGGCACTCCAGAATCATTACTGGCCCCAAGCAAACCCTTGGACTGACTCAACTCTCAGCAGAAGACATACTCAACAATAAAAGAACTTTTAAAAGTAAAGTTTCAACTCAATGTCTCAAAATAGATACTCAGAGCATTTTAAATAGAACATTCACTGGCCAAAAGAGACAACTCATTTAAACATTAAACACTGGAAATGAAAAAGACTCCTGAACTACTACTGTCTATTTATGAAGCCTCTAATACTATGAGGGATGTCAGGACAAGACCACCGATCATCCTAACAAAACTGAAATAATAGAAATAAATAAAGGATTCTCCAGAAGCAAGGAGGCTCACCAAACAACTCTGGACCACTTGAAATATGCAGGCCAAATGACGTCAGTACATGGAATGTATGAGCATACAAGGGGAAATCTAAAACATGACATAAGCTTGAATTGGAACTGAAGAAACATATTCACCTCATCTCAACTCGAAGTACTCAAACTCAGAAATACTCAACTCAGTTCAATATAAAAGCAACAATAAAGATGCATTATAAAAAAACTTTTAAAACTGCAGATTACAACTTAATGTATTTAAAAAATACAATAATAACTCAGTTTGTATGTAAAGATACAAAATAACTCAATTTGAGAGATTCTCTAACCGACAACCATTACTATGAGCTATGTGATGATACAACATCTCTCCTACTCTGCTAGAACTGTCCTATACCTTGCAGGGGTATAGAACTCCTCAACTAAGTGGATCCACTAAGCTATGCTTAAAAAGCAATAAAGAATCATTTAAAAAGTATGACCATTTCTACCCACATTGACTACATGGTTTATGAGGACTTTGAGTTATTTGAACTTGTCCCCATATCGGTGCTCAATACTACTCCCAAAATATAACTCAGCTCATATATTTAAAAATATTTCCTCATCCTCAAACTTTTGAGATTATTACTCAAAAGGTTTCTCTTAAAAGAGATAGTACTCAAAACTCCTCATGAACTCATTTGAAAATAGATGTTTCCTCTCATTTTAAATGTAAAAACATTTACTCTTGGGAATACTTAGTTTCCATATATCATTTTGAAAAAAATGAACTCAACTCTACTCATCCTCATACTCAAGTACTCAAGTCTTAAAACAAGATTTAAAAGATTATAAAAGACTTCTCAAAATGACTCAAAAGAACTCTCAAGACTTTATTCCTAACTCTATCTTGAATTTGAATTATGAATTCAATGGTTATGATTCATGTTACGAAGGATCTCTCGATGTTTAGATGTAGTTTAGAGTAGTTAGAATCGGTAAGAGAGAAGGGATACATTTTAAAAGGACTTAGATAGAGCAAACGACTGAAAAAGGGTGGGGGCAAGCGACCCTAGCGCACTGCTGGCACGGGGCGCCAACCCCTAAACTTCAGAGACTCAAATATGGCGCACTGCTGGCGCGCCATGCCAGACCTTCTAGTGCATCTGGGGCTCGCCGCGCCAGCCCTTTCCCAGGTCAATTCGACGAATTTTTCCTCTCATTTTATGATCCTAATTCTTCTAGAATCGATTGATTTCCTCAAATTTTCGTTATATTCAATTACCCAATACAAGTACACGAGAATCTACTAAAAAACAACCCTCAAACTCATAGCGTTTATCTCAAGAACTCATCAAACTCATCATAAGCAATTTAAAAATGAAACTTCAAGAAAATTCATCAAGAACTCAAATCATTCAACTTCGAGAATGAAATTACGAATAAAATCACATGATTGGTGCGTGGGTGAACGGACCCAACACTATGAGAACTCACATACCTCGATTTGGCGAAGCAAATCCTCGATTCACAAGAAATCTTGATCGTTCTTCCTTTTCTCTTCTTGAACTTCTCTCTAAAACCCTAAGCGTATTTAGGATTGTGAAAACCGACCCAAATCAGTTTAGACCCCTAAAATATTACTAAAAATGTTAAAGGCTGATGGGGTAAGGAAAAAAACAAAATACCTCTCATTAATTCGGATAACTTTCCTTAACTGGACAGACTAACTTTAAATGGTCATATCTCCCTCATCTAAACTCAAAACTTAGCAAACTCGGTGGTGTTGGAAAGAGGATTCAAAGACCTTTCATTTGATATCTTATGGGCCACCTAACTCATCCGGTAATGAAAGTTATGGTTATTTGAAGTTGACCGAAAGCTCACAACTTAAGCTTAACTTGAACAAATCTTAAATTAGCTCTTTCCAATTTAGTTCTTTCTAAATTTAACTCTTTGCTAAGGAAGGATGTTACATTGGGGTTGCTCAATGCATAGTTTTTTGGCTTGTTTTAAGCATTTTAAAACTTATTTCAAGCACTTTCTAAACATTGCTAAACACGGAAAAAAGATAAATAATGTTTAAAAATTGATATGATCAGCTTAAAAGTCAACTCATATACCTTTGAAGTCAAAATCCCCAATTCGAGCTTTCAAATCACTTTGATTTTGTGGATGAAATTATACTGAAGTTGAATATATCACCATAGGGGGTTAGTAAATTAATACCTTTGATTATTTGGTAGAAATATGTATCTTAGATTATCCTAATGAGCTCCACTTTTAAAATGGGAAAAACCTCATATGAAGTTCATCACTATTCATTATATATCACATTTATTCATTTTACGTGATCGCAATTAGGACCTCGCGATTGTGGGGTCTGATAGTTGACTAGTTGTCTCTGATATTGCAATTTCGACGCATGAGACACCAACAAAAAGTTTACAAATGTTCAATTGTGCCTAATTACCCTTGAGTGTTGAGTTTTCAACAAGGCCTAAATAGGTATACAAAACTATGTCAATCTTCAAAACGCAAATCTAATTATATGTTAACAAGATTAGTGGTATACATCTTCCATATTAACTCTTATTCATTCTTGAACAAACTAAGAATGTGCACCTAAGGTCTCAAACAACAGTGGGTACTTTGTTTGTATGTCTTCCTTTGTCTCTTAAGTCTCTCGTCTTCTCCTGTCGATGCTTCCTCTAAATACATTAATCAAAGGAAAAACTTTCGGCCTCAACTTGCAAACTTGTCTATCTAAAATTGTTAACGAAGTTTCTTCATTAGACAGACTCTC